CTCTTACTCTTAGGAGATCAGAGTGGGCAGATCACTTCTAAAAGAAGCTCCACTCGGGATCTTCCCTTTTCCTCATCTTTCTTGGGTCCTCCCACAACATCTCTGCCCATCCACCTCCCTCCTACCACCACACTGGGATCCAACACTCCCGCGTTGGGTTGATTGACACACAGTTGAATTAGATAACAAGTGTTCACACATCTATACTAATAAAAGGGTAAAATGCTAATTAGAGTGGACATCTACCGGACGTCCCTCCAGACAAAGCCGCAGCGGCTGTGAGGGCCGAGGCTCAGGCAGCTGTGGGCCGCTGTGAAGGGCTGAGGCTGAGGCCGGCAGTGGCAGCAGCAACAGCAGCACAGTAATGGGGGCGGTGCCTCCCCCCATCCACCAGGTCGCCTCCCACAGAGGGAAGCCAGACTGGGGGGCCAAGGCAGAGGCAGTTAGGGGCGATCAGACCAGCAGGGGGGCAAGTTAGGGGCTATCAGGCTGGCAGGGGATCAAGTTAGGGGCTATCAGGCTGGCAGGGGGTCAAGGTAAGGGCAATCAGGCCAGCAGGCAGAGGGGTTGGGTTAGGGGTGATCAGGCAGGCAGGCAGGCGAGTGGTTAGGAGCCAGTGGTCCCGGATTGGGAGAAGGATGTCCCAGATTGGAGAGGGTGCAAGCCAGACTGAGGAACTCCCCTCTGTCCATGAATTTCGTGCACTGGGCCTCTAGTATTAGAATAGAAAACTATAGACTTGAGGAATGTTATTAGTATTATTTCTGGATTTTAGTTGGACTGTCAAGATTAAAAATGATAAACAATCTCTTCAGAGTCAGTTATCTTTTCCTCGAATTAGTTTCTGAGGTTCTTTCCAATCTGGCTTTTCTTTAGCCCTCTAGCCTCCTGTTTAGAAATTTCATTGAATTTTTTTTCTTCTCTCACTTTTCTGGAGATCTTTATGTACTCCTTTCCCATATTCACCCCTTTTTCGCACCCCATAGCTTCTTCCCCCACACACACTCCCCCCCCCCAGTCTATTCTTTCTCCCTGATGTTGCTTTATTTACTATTCTTTCAACATGTCTTTTCTCTTGAGGAGCTTACAGTGCACTGTAGTATCCTTATTCTTAATGCCTCCACCAAACCCCAAAGAATGTAAATTTAAATTTCCAAATAAATTCTTACTAACCTAGCACCTTATAAATACTTAGAAGCACCATTTTATCCATTAAATTTTAAAACGACAAATCTGGCTGTCTATCTGTGGTATCACCCCTCTGCCCAGATTTTCAAAATCACTTTTGGGACCCAGGGGAAACACACAGTTGATGAATTGTTTCATTTAAGCTATTGAGGTATTACCTAAGAACCAATGTTTCTGTGTAATGTCTATAGAATCGAGTGGTCTTTAGTTGAGCTCAGTTCTAACCATTATGGTTTCACTCAAATATAATTTACTTATTTTGGATCCCCAAACTTGTAAGTTTTTCAAGGATCTTAGTAGATCTGGTTTCTGAATCAGAGTTTTCATTTTTATTATAGAATCCTCAAAACTTCGGCTATGTTATGATTAACTTAGTAGGTGTTTGGGCTTAGTTTATTAAAATTCACCTAGTTATTTCATAATGTAATTGATATTCCTAAAGATGTAAATCTAAAAGATCTGTTTTTATGTCTTTTGCAATTTAGGTGCTTCTACATCTATTGTTGGCATTCTTTCATTTAAAAATTTTAATCTTATTTTGATAGTCTTTTAAAAATTGACTTCAATTTGATCATCTTCCATTTTAAGTATCTTATGAGAAGTAACTTAATAAGAACGTCCTATGCTAGCTCTTTATAATTAAAGTATAAAGAAATTTTATGAAGAATTTGATAAAGTTCTAAGATTAATCTGAACATTTTAATTTATTTTTATCTTTAATATGTAAGAAAATATCCTTTGTGACATTGGTTGATCATTTTGTAAAATACTTAACACTAGTTGGGCTATGGGAATACACACAGGCTACGTTCCTTCTACGTAGCCTTTTGCTTGTGAGTCTATCCTTATGCAGGGGTGAGCAAAAGTAAGTTTGCAGTTGTAATACAAATAAATAATAAAACAAGAATAAACCATTTCTCATACTCACAGCTATAAATGTACTTTTGCCAAGCCCTGTTTTTCTGAAGTGTGTAGGTACAGATGTGCATGCATGGCGTTTTTATGCTCCCATCACAGTGTAATTCATTCACATCAACAAAAGCCCGATTTGGAGGTGTGGAGAGGGAACAAAGGAGACCAGTGCCTTGTAGAGCTTCTATGTGTATGTGGTCTGGTATCATTAATGGGCTGAAAGGTAACTGAACATTTCCATTTTGGTGTGAGTCCCTTGGGAAAGAAAAAGGTTTTATAATGGAGTGTGATCTGCACTCTTCCTAAGAGTGATTGACACTGAATGATTAAGTAGAATAGGAGAATGAATACCACTCCTCCCCTTTAAAGGCGAAGCATATATACACTAAATGTAAATCTTTTCCGTGTGGAAGGCAGTCTGGCTTAGGGATAGGGTATATCTGAAGAGCTGGGGGGCGGGAGGGGGCGTTAACCAGGCAGGTCAAAATGCAAGGAAACCAGAATTATATAGTATTCTTCAAAATAACTTTTAAACCCCAAACGTAATGGTAAATGCACATATAGAATATGATGGAAGACCCCATTTGTGAAAGTGGGATCTTGACATCAGGCCCTTGGTAAATGAGTGGCAAATGGTCCTCTAAATTGGAGAGCACAGTGCCTCCCACAGTGACTGACGAGATGGATGTGTCTGCAGGAGAGCCTGCTGTCACGGAAGCCTTTAGCCTATTTTCTCTTTCTTCGAAAATGAGCTCCCAACTGGATGTTATCCTCAAGAAAGTGAATTTAATTCAAAAGGAGATATTTTATAGATGGGCAGATTTAATTTAAAGATCCACTTATCAATTATAGAATATGGGAAAACATTATTATAAGTAATATGATTATATTTCTGAAAGATGCCATTTTTTAGTGTGTTATTGTGGGGACCTGAATTTCAAGCATTAGTAATTTTTATTCTTTAAATTTGCACTATCTTTTTAAACACATGCTTTAAACAATAGTGAATCTTTATCGTAGTATTAATTACAAAGTTTTATTTATTATATGAAGGTACATAATTACACAATAAATAATTTAACCAGAAAAAGTACTTTATTGGTTTCCCCGTTAATTTTTGAAAATGTGATGTATTTTCCCCCTAGATAAATACTTATTAATATTGCAAATAATAAAAGCCCATCTTGTGAATTCATTATTCTCACAGCTATAAGAAAATAAGGTAGTATTGGTGAGAAGCAAGCTGTAGTTATCCTAGTTTTTGCTAAGTAAAAATCACTCTTTATAACTTATCCCAGAAAATAAAATACTAAGTATTCTACATATATTGCTCAGTAGATTAGTAGTAGCTTAGTAATTTGTCTTTGAAATATATAGTAATATAACTTATTGAGCTTGCTATTCTCACACACACAGATCTAATTACAATTAATTTTTTTTGTCAATAGTCTTAAGCTGACTCTCATAGTTACCACTTATTTTGCCATTTTTAAAAAACTTTGTGATCTGTTTGCGCTTCCTAATGAGAATTATGGAGACATAAATGTATTTTGAAATAAAAAGTTCTTAAGACACTTCATTTGGAGACAAATTAATAAGCAAATTCTATACTCAACAAGTAGATTAAAATCTTTGTAATTTTGAAATTTTATTTTCTCCACTTTAGCTGTTTTGTTGTTTTTAATATAAAAATTTAAAAGAAAGTCTGACTGGAATTAAGCAAATATATCTTCCAAATAATTTACTTGCTCAGTTTTTAGATGCTAAGTCAATTTTTCAAACATCTAATATAAAGTTATGCACCCAATGTGTATTTAAACACTAATTAAGAATGGATTTATGTTTATTTCAATTTAGAAGAATTACTCTAGAGAAAAACTAATTTCTTACAGTAGAAAATAAGATAAATTCTTTCCATCACTGACCTATCATCAACCTTTTAAAATCCAATCTAAGTAGTCAGCTTTCTTTTACAGCATTCTGATCAGACACTTACTGTACTACTCTAAAATTATTTGGTAATTTTCCAGATATCATTCACCATAGACATATGATTTCCCTACGTATCAGATTTCCCTGCATTGCTTAATTTGGACAAAGGAAAAAAATTCTTCCAGTCAACTGGTTTCCATCGTCAAAATAATTAATACCCAAAGAAAGGTTGTACAGTGGTGGGCAAACTGTGGCTCGGCAAACCGTGGCTCGCGTGCCACATGCGGCTCTTTGGCCCCTTGAGTGTGGCTCTTCCACAAAAATACCAGCTCTTCCACAAAATACCGACTTCTGCGCATGGGCAACGAAGTTTCAATCTCACCGAACGGGCGCGCCCGCACGTGGTATTTTGTGGAAGAGCCACACTCAAGGGGCCAAAGAGCCGCATATGGCTCCTGAGCCGCGGTTTGCCGACCACGGGAAGCTGATAAAATAGAATTTGTTGTATAATTTTCCCAATTGCTGAGTACATTGTTCCATGTTTCTATGTCTCTGGATCTGTTTTGTTCATCAGTTTATTTTGTTTTATCCTTCGAAAGCTAGCTGTTTGCTCTTGTGTTGAGCATTGGCTGCCCTCTAGTGGCTAACTTGTGTTTTTTAAAATAACCCGTCAGATCTTGAAAAGGAGTAATTTCTGTATGGAAGTGATTACATAGCCTTTCGTGTTTTACATTGACTGGTGTGTCAAGTACAACTGGCTTCATAACTTTGCCGGAGCGTTTGGGTGATGATGGCCTTCGAAACACATGGTCTGGTAAATGGCCTCACATACGTACTAAAGAAGGCACATGAAAATGAGCGAATCTCATGGACAGCTTGTGTGGGGGGGGTATCTTTTTACATACATGAATAACATCTGATGACACCTCCTCCCTGCTTCTAAGATGTTTTCATTATTCTTATTGCAGATGCTACAACTGTGGTGGCCTTGATCATCATGCTAAGGAATGTAGTCTACCTCCTCAGCCAAAGAAGTGCCATTACTGTCAGAGCATCACACACATGGTGGCCAACTGCCCGCATAAAACTGTTGTGCAGCCGCCGGTCAGTTCTCAGGGAAGACAGGAAGCGGATTCACAGCCATGCACTGCGGCTTTCCCACGGGAGGTGGGGGGAGGGCACGGCTGTACATCACCCCCATTTCCTCAGGAGGCGAGGTCCGAGATCGCAGAGAGGCCAGGCCGGTCCCCTCAGGAAGCTTCCTCCACAAAGTCATCGGCAGCCCCCGAAGAACAAAGCAAAAAGGGGCCTTCTGTCCAAAAAAGGAAAAAGACATAACCCTTCTTCTTAATGTATCGCTTTCTCTCCCCGGTTGGGAAGTCTACCTCATGCAAGCATAGGGGAACAGTATTTCACAAACTGCAGCTGACCTGGGATTTTTAACTACTGTTGAGGAACTGTGAATTTTTTAAACAGACAAATCACTCTAAGCAAATTACATTGGAGCAGGGTGTCATGTTTGATGTAATTCAGAGAATGAGATTCTATGTATTCCCTATATGTGCATGTGTGAGAGGGAGAGAGCCTGAGTCTCTGTGTGTAGGAGGATTTATATAGCAATGGAGACATATATATATAAAGAGCGTTTGTCTTTATATATGTGTGCATAGAGCTACAAGCACACACCCTCCCTCACAGAATTTAACGTCCCCAAGAATTGAAAACTCGTGGGAAGCATTTTATTTAGATGGCTTCAAAAATAACCCCTGGAGTTTATCTTGAAATACCATTCCCTTTACCTTACATACAAGTAAAAACATGATTGTTACTTTTGTGTGAACCAAAGGATACTTCAGATCTCAGAGCTGCCAATCACATGGTACTAAAGGTTTTTAAATCGTCAGTTTTCCCCAAGTTTGGGATTGCCTTTTTTCTTGATATCCATAGAGTGCTCCCACCCCTTTTGAAGGCAGTACCTTAACTCCACATGCCTCTGACTGCCATAAGCTTTTTGAATCTGGGATACGTATTTCCAGAAAAGACAATGAATGTGTAATTTCTGTGCCGATATTTCAATGTTTTTAATTCATATATTTTGATTGTAAATTAGATACATATTAAGAGAAAGGAAGGGGGAGGGCAATGTAAAAATGTAGTGACTTGATTGTTTTCAGTGGTATTTTGATACCAGCTCATAATCTTTCACGTGCTGTGAGGTTTTGTAAGGGGTTGTGGCAACAGCAGCTTCCCTTGACTAAGTCAGTCCTTTTGACCATCACTTCGAGCAGGGGCCCTCCCTGTTTACTACTGAAGACCTTGGAGAAAAACTCCAATAGTTTGGTATATATTTTGGTGGCGATTTTTATTCCCCCTGAAGAGTTACCTAACTTGTTTTTAAAACAAACAAAACAGCAGAGATATGACTAGAATGCCAGGGTTGAGAGTAGACATTATTGATGCTCACAATTGCCCAATACGTATAACCTTGAATACATTAAAAAGTGCAGTGTTTGGTGGCAGGAAACTAGAGTGACGAGCTGGGCCAGAGGTACCAGAACCTCTCCTTGCAGCGAGCTAGAAGGATTTTATACAATAAGATCAATCTAGAGAGTTCCCTGTTACCATGCTGAGGGGACCTACATGGTGGATTCAGGATGAACACGCAGTGATGGCGATAGGCTTTGCAGCTTGGTCCTCGGTTATATTAATAAATTGGCTGGGGAACAATCATAGTATTGGCCCCTTGTGGGTTTCAGTCACTTTGGTGTCATCCTCGTTATAGGTGTTATGGGTACTTTACTGAAACATCTCCAAGAAGGTACCAATTATAACGCTTAACATTGGCAATAAATATAGTTTTGTATGATGAGCCTGTTGGTGTAAGCTCAGATAATCAAAAAGAAAGAGAAAGAAAGGAAAGAAAGAAAGAAAGAAAGAAAGAAAGAAAGAAAGAAAGAAAGAAAGAAAGAAAGAAAGAAAGAAAGAAAGAAAAGAAAGAAAAAGAAATGGCATAGTTCAGGTATGATGTATTCTACCTACCAATGTCCGCTCCCTCTCCCACTTGTCCTTCCACGTAGACCTGGGTAGTTGCTGCTGTGCCAGCCAGCCGGGCAGAAGGAGCAATGCCCGGGGTTGGGCCGCCAGTCCTCCACAGCTCAGCCTGAACTCCGCGTCAGTGTTTGTGAGAATCTCCACAGTATGTGCTGGAATATCAGTGTGCTGTGATGCAACGCTTACCTTTGACGACATTGAATGTGATATAGCTGTAGAGAAGTCCGTCCTTGCCTTACGTGAGGATTGTAAGCGTATTTAAATTATGTAGACAAATCAAAGTGGCATTGCTTAATTTTTAGCAGGTATAATAAGCAGGTGAACAGTAAAAATGCAAACCATAACAAGTCACTTTGAAAATCCAAACCAAAGTTTCTTGACCTTAGAGAACTATGGACTTAGAGAAGTTATGGACTTGAGAATTGGGCATTCCCTGTTTCCATATTAAAAAGTGCAGAGCTGAGATCATGATTTTTTGTGTTTTTTTTTTTAAAGAGTATAACTGTGGACCTATGGGTGCAATTTGAAATCATTTTAAGCATTTTACAAGACTGAACTAAGAGCACATACCAAACCTATCTTATGATTAAAAGTTGGTTTTATTTTTTATATAAGAATATTATCACTATTGCATAACATACTCAGGACAAAGAACTTTGCTCAGGGAACATACCATATATGATCTTGTTGTTGTTGTTTCTTTACAGAATAGTCTACAGTCCTGCTTACTCAAAACAAACCAAATAACTTTGACCTTTGTATAAGTATTATATACTGATGTTAGTAATGACTACCTCTGTTTGATGTAGATCAAAATTTCTGAATTTAAGATATCAGTTCTCCTATTTCTATTTCATGTGAAAAGTACTGGACAGTAGAATTCCTGAACTCCTTGTATATGTGAATATCACAGATGTGAGCACAGTGTCCATTTTCATGGGTGAAATATAACTCTGTTTACAACAAAAGGCTACCTCATCGTTGATGCATAGCACACCTTTATGCTGCTCCAGCCTTCCGGTGGCTGATCGCCCTCTGGTACAGAGCCTCTCTATGGTATAGATAGCAGTTCACCAACTGCATGTTTCTGACAAACACTTGTGAATAATGAAGCATCAAGCATCTCACTTACTTAGCAAAGCCTCCAAGCATTTCCTTGAACTGATCATGTACTTAGATGAAAGAATTATGGTCACTCTTCCCCTTAAGCAACGCAGCACAAAGAAGCAATCTTGGAAACAGCTGCTGTGCCCAGAGGTTGAGGCAGGAAGGGGTGGCAGGAGGAGAGGCTGGTGTCTGAGTGCGTTCATGCTGGGCAAACAGTATAAAAGATGCCAATCTCCTGCATTTGTGTCTGTGCTGCCCTGAGGCCAAGCATGTTGCAGCATTATTGCCCTAGGCACACAGCTAACTAGTGCCAAGGAGTGGACATAGAGTGATGTGCAATGCCATTTCCAGCTACTGAGGGGTCGGGCTGTGTGAAGCATCCGTTTACAGGGGTTGGGCAGGGGGGTCTGTGAGTTAGTTGCTCCTTGACCTCACCCCCATGTCAACACAAATGTAATTCCTAAGAAAGATGCCCTAGCAGTCTCTCAGCCCTGTGAGCTATTCATTTGCTACACGGCTGATGACAGTGGAAACATTTTTATACTTGCATTTCTAGTCTTTACTAGAGGACTTTGGATGTATTTTTACAATGGAAAGATGTAGAAAGATTTTTACCTGCTTATAACTTGCAAGTTTGGCGTGCAATGTAAGGAAAAAGATCAGTAAACATGTTATTAGCATCAATCCACCTACAAAAACAGGATGTTTTTATTGCCGATTTTTTTTTCAATAGTCTGGCCCAGTTTTGTTTTGCACCAATGTGGCCCCAAGTTAATGCTAGTTGTATTTAGTTTGTGAATAGAAGCCCATAAGTGTTAATAGACTTTGTAACATTCACTGTAAGATGAATTATACAGGACATGGGAAATCTCACTAAGTCTTAAAGTTAATTTAAATTAATTTATCTGTTTTCTCTAAGAAATGTTTATCATAAAATATATATGTGTGTTTCCCCTTTGGTTATAAAATTTGGGAAAGTATGTACAAGTGCAGCTGCCTTGATGTTAACTTCCTAGATTTATTTGTTTTAGAGAAGAACAACTTGTTAAAAGCATCTAATTCTGTCTTACTAGCTGTCATCAGCCTCTTTAAGATGTGGTGGTTATGTGATCTGTGTCATAGTTCAGTTAGAGTGAGAAGTTGACCAATGAGTTGTTTTTAAATTTTATGTATGGAACAAAGCTGCAAAGTTATGGCAAAGTACTGTACTGTGAGAACCTATTGTGATATGTAGTACATCTGTGGCTTAACACTGAGTTACCAGCTTAAACATGACGGTGTTGACTACCTCTCAAATTACTTACATCTACCAACCACTGGCACCCACCACCCAGCTGGCTTTAGTTATATGTATTGGGTTTCTTATGTTTTTATTTTTTTTATTTTGGTATTAACCACCCTAACCATACTAGAGACCAAAGTGAACACTGATTTCTATATCTCTTTACTACGGTGTTTTATCTAGTGTTTTTAAATTATCCTGTGTAGTCTTTAGGTTGCCTCGTTGTCCATTTTGACTCATGTTTACAAGTGAAACTAAACTAAACACTTGAACTGTATGTTTTTAAAGGACAAAAAAGGAGCTGTTTCGCATGGCCTTCACTCATGTACAGTCATTCTGATGGGCTAACATACTGCTTGCCTTTCTGAAGACCGTGGGTTTTATATCTCATTTCATGCCTAATGTCTTATTCTGTCAACTATGGATATTTTGAGGTCTAAAAAAATTACTTGATTAAAAATAAAAATATAATGTTGGCATTTATGATGAGTTTTGGAGATTTTTCATTATTTGTATGATTGTTCAGTTAAATGAATGCATAAAAGGCCATTTAGCCAAAACCGGTTTGGCTCAGTGGATAGAGCGTCGGCCTGCGGACTGGAAGGTCCCAGGTTCGATTCCGGTCAAGGGCATGTACCTGGGTTGCGGGCACATTCCCAGTGGGAGATGTGCAGGAGGCAGCTGATCGATGTTTCTCTCATCGATGTTTCTAACTATCTCTCTCCCTTCCTCTCTGTAAAAAATCAATTAAAAAATATATATTTCTTAAAAAGGCCATTTACACATATATTAAATAGTTTTAACATCTTCAGATACAGGTGATTTAAATATGGGCCACACTATGTCAGTACAGATGGCTAGTAAATTCAGCCTGAATGAATGAATGAACAAAGAAGGAAAAGTAGGTTCTATCAGCATCAGGAATTGTCCAGGATTCGCTGGCAATGATTGTTTGTGAGCTTCTAAATCAGATTACACACTGCATGTGCTCAGGAAATGTCCCCTGAAACAAAAGTGTTCAAGCCCTTTTGGAGAAACCATTTTATAATTCTTTCTAATCAATGGAAAAGTAGTTGAAACGAGTCCTGCCCGGTGTGGTTCAGTGATTAGAGCATCCGCCCTCGCACCAAAGGAACACAGGTTCAATTCCCAGTCCAGGGCACGTACCTGGGATGCAGGTTCCATCCTGAGCCTCAGTTGGGGTGTGCATGGGAGGCAACCACTGCATGTTTCTCTCTTCCTCCCTCGCTCCCTCCCTTCCACTCTCTCTAAACATCAATAGGAAAAATGTCTTCGGGTGAGGATTTAAAAATAAAAGCTTCTGAAAAGAACAATCAAAACCAGAATACTCCAGTACCAAATATCTAATGTGAATGTGGATTTGTCAAATTATGTATGTGGTGCTGATATGCTGCTGAAACAATTTGCTGAAACTTGAGTTCTATAAGTTGGCCAGTCCCACAATTAAACTCATTTTCATTTCAGCTCTATACCTGGATGATTGTGTGGTCGTGGGGGGGGGAGGGAGGCGGTGGTACTATGATTCCTACTTCTGTTGCTGTTGTTAATTGTGGTAAAAACAAACAACACATAATTTACCATCTTACCCATTTGTTAAGCACACCAGTACATTCACATCATTGTGCGACATTGAATGATTCACTTGTAGGATTTGAAGGTCTCTACCCTGAATGCTCATGAGGGCATGATTACATAAATATTTCAGCTGTGTTTATTTTCTTTGACGATTATTATTTGAAAGAGCAGCTTTTTGTTATAAATTGTACTTTACTGTGGAGAATAGGGAGAAGCTTAATAAATAAAATTCATACATAACCCCACCACCCAGAAATATTTTTAAATTAATTTCAAATATAGAAACATTTTTTTAAAAGTACTTAATCCCATCACATAGAAATAACCATTAACCTTTTTTGGTTAAATAAATTAGACATTTAAAAAATAAAATTAGGTTAGATTATATATAGTTTGGAACTTTACACTTTTCCTCCTATATCATAGTGTTTTGTCATCAATGAAAATTGTTCAAAACAACATTTCCAATAAATGCACAAGCAGTTTGAGGAAGTGAGATTCAGGTGAAGTGAGAAAGGTGGGTGAAGAAACAGCATAAACAAAAGGTCAGAGTTGAACATGAGCAGTGCACAATTCAGCAGAGACTCACTTGGTGAGGCAAAAAAACATTTTGCATAAAAAGCATTTTGAATGCATTGGAGGGCAAGCAGTGCAGCCAGGAACTTGGGGGGAAAGCACAATTGAGGAGCACATTTACCCCAGTTTTTCCCCTAAGGGCCCTTGCTAGTTCCCTGAGGTGTCACAGGGTGAGAGACAGAGAATGAAGCCCACACCATCTTCATATATATTCCTTTAAAGTCATTGAATGTTAAGACTCAGCAGAAAGTAGCTGAGAGCAGGGCCAAAACTAGGGTGAGACAAGAGAGGTGCCTAGGGTGTAAAATGTAAAAGGTGCTGACTTTCAGGGTGATCCCTTGCTCTATGCACCTTCCTGTCTCATCCCACTCTACCCGCCTGGCTGGGAGGCTAAAGGAGTTAACAGATTTCCTCAGCCATCTAGTGCTGACGGAGATGGGATTAGAAAGAGTTAGATGACAGTTTTTGTCTGGATCCCAGAAGACTAAATCTAGGAATAAGTGTGTGCCCTAAGGGTACTGGCCATACACCAGGAAAGGGGCAAAAGTAAAATAGACCAGCCCTAACAAAACCTGAAATTAACCCTGGATGGGACAAGGTGACCAGCTAGTACAATACCTACCTACCAAAATAAATCCGCCCTCCTTGGAGGAAGACAGCATTACCCAAAGCCCCTACAGATTTTTACCTGCAATGTCCAACACCCAAGCCAATGGAAGGAAGCATGCTAATAAATAGCCAATTCACTGGGCACAAAGGAAAACAGGCGACTCAGATACTGCAATAATTGTACAATGATGTTAAAATTAACTATGGCAAACAGAGAAGATATAGAAGTCAGAAATTGTAGAGCCAAAAATTATAATAACTGAAAGTAAGAATTCAGCAGTTGGGCTTAACAGCAAGTTAATTGCTGAGAGAACAG